GACCACTAATTAGCATAAAACACCCTCCTATGCAACTGAGATAGCTAATAAATCCTGGATTATTATTTCAAACATGTTTATGAAGTATGTTTTGTTTCTGTATACAATTAAAACATTAAAGTAAAGCATGAAGTAAAGGATATGTTGTTCTGCAACAGCAGAAGAGTTTTCTGCATGTTACTACCGTAGTAGTTTTTCCTTTTATGTCAGAAAATGTTCTTTCATGTTACTTGTCCATAAGGGAGCAATATTAGGTACACATTAGCTGCTAGAACTGTTTAGACTAAGGATCTCATATTACTCATCACTTGGTCAGGTTAACTTAGTCTCACAGGAGTGAAGGACATAGGCAATAACTAAGTCTTTTTATCCTCCTCTTGTTTCAGTTCAGGAGCTTTTAAATACTTAGAGTCGGCAAAAAAAGGTGTCATACCATCAGCAGATATATTCACTGCATATTTTAGATGACATATTTTAGATGAGTAGCCTGGGTACCGTCCTGGTTAGTTAACGTCCGTGGGACTGTGGGAGCGGACGTAAGGATGGTACCCAGGCTAACTACTGAGATCATCCACCATTGTTCTTGGTGGGTCCACCATTTATCAAATTATGCGTAGTGCAGTACTATCAAGAATCGCCTAGTGGCGCTGTTGCGGGGTCATCCAACCGACCGACAAGGACGCGTCGCCATTTTGGGTACCCCATTTTGCGTTCTCTTGAACATTTTTCTCCGGAGCTTGGTGCAGCATTGTGGGGCTGGCTCGGGACAGAAGGAAACAAAGCTGTCGCTTCTTGTAATCCTTAAGGACTGAAGACAACATTTGCCGGTGACAGGTAAGCTATGAGGAGTTCCGGACACTGCTCATCCTGCTGAGTTTATATTCGTCCTTGGGGGAGGGGGGTGAATCTGCTAAGTTATCTTTTATTAACTGCATGATTTGCTTCTTACCTGTGATAGTATGAAGGAGAAAATATAGCAGTCTAAGCAAAAACTATTGTATTGGCGTACAGGAGGTGATGTAAAAAAGGCGTTACATGTTGGGGGGCTCTAAACTATATTTTTCCGAGGAGGTTTAAAATCAAACTTTCTTGATTTTTCCAAGTAGCTTCCAGGACGGTAACCGGTCGTTTCGTTACATGACCAGTTCGTTACATGGACCTATAGTCATTTCGTTACATTGATTCAGTTATTTCGTTACACACGGAAAAGTGCTTTCGTTACACATTATAGTTACCATCATTTCTCTGTACTGTAGTGATTCCCCCCAATTTTGATGAATTCTGCAGATGAATTTTCGGCTGCGGCGGCAGATTTTCGACCGCGGCGGCGGGACTGTAACCTTTCCCCGCAGTAAACATACCCTGGATGCCAAACTAGTATCGGTTAGCCGTTTTCCTTCGGCAGCCGAGAGCCATTCGCCCGCCTGCCTAAATTACCGCTACGGGGGAGTTGAGCCCGAGGGGAGTTGGCTGGCCAGCGGCGGCCGGACTGTAACCTGTCCCCGCAGTAAACACCGACCAGCGGCGGCGGGGACTGTAACCTTTCCTCATGTTGGCGTTCACGACAACTACTTGCTTCAATAAAAGTTTAGAACATACGGATATTCAACATATATAGTGGAAGTCGCTTAGTTACGCCGCTCATTTGTCAGAATTTTGGCGAACGTACGCTAGAGCTATACACGAAACACAACCACACACAAGCACACACAAGCCTTCCGCAACAACAAGCATGTTTATCTATGTCGAATTAAATGACATCGGTGTCAATTTGGGCTTAAAATGAAGGTAAGTATGTCGGCAGTGAAGTCATCACCTTCTTATGTACAACTTGAGTCCACAAACTGTACACTCATAGTGTAAATCCCTTTGAGATCTTTTGCCGTAAAATTTAAACAAAGAAACAAAATGGCGCCGATGGCGTGTATACAAACGTTGTGGTCACGTCAGCATCCCGTCAGCCAATGCGGCAAATCTGGTGGCGCGAGATTTGACTGCGTTTTTTTTATTCGAAACAATTTTTTACGTAACAGGGAAATTGCATAGCTAACAACAGCTAGCGTTATCTATTATATAGAACAGTTAGTTGTGGGCGCG